GTGCCTTGAGATGACGTGTTGTGAATTTGGAGCTATATAAATAAACTGAATTGAATTAACTCTTCCTATATGACTTGTTACATGAACACTATTGCATAATGCAGGCATCCCCAAACTCGGTCCTCAAGGCCCCCTGTCCTGCAGGTTTTAGAGGTTTCCTTGCTCCAGCACAGCTGATTTTAATTGAAAGCTTATTAACAGGCTTTTGGTCTACTGCAATCATTATAACCAGCTGTGCTGAAGTAGAGAAACCTCTAAAACCTGCAGGACAGGGGGCCCTAAGGACCGAGTTTGGGGATGCCTGGCATAATGCATTAATTTTTCTAACAGTGTAGATCCCTCTTAAGCAATTATTTCTAAAATGTGCCTAATTTGTGGCTCCAAACTCACTTTTTCTTTCATTAATTTGCTCCTTTTTTCTTCCTTAGGTCTGGTTTCTCTCTGTACTCTAACCCTTCTCGCCTTTGAGCGGTACAACGTAGTGTGTCGCCCAAAAGCTGCTTTTACCCTAACCATGCGGAGAATCATTAAGGGGCTCCTGTTTGTTTGGATCTTCTGTTTGTTTTGGGCTGTTACTCCATTATTTGGCTGGAGCTCTTACAGTCCCGAAGGGGTCCAGACGTCCTGCTCTCTGGCGTGGGAGGAGAGGTCCTGGAGCAACTACAGCTATCTCATTCTATACACACTGCTCTGTTTCATCGTTCCTGTTGCAGTCATAATCTACTGCTACTTCCATGTGCTGAAATCCCTGAGAAAGGTGGACACCTTTTACACCACTAAGAATTAATTCTTAAAATGATCAAGTTGCACTCTTCTAAAGCAAGTTTTTAGGTTTTAATAGCAGCTCAAATGTACTCTCCATCAGTTGAACAGGAGCATTGAGCTGCAAGGTGGCCGTTCCAGGAAGAGTGAGAATGATCACGCCATCACCATGGTCTTGGCAATGATCGTATCCTTCTTTGTATGCTGGCTGCCCTACACAGCCTTGTCAGTGGTGGTAGTGGTGGATCCAGAGCTGCACATTCCTCCGCTCGTTGCAACTCTGCCCATGTACTTTGCAAAAACCAGCCCAGTCTACAACCCCATCATCTACTTCTTTTGCAACAAGCAGGTAAACAGATATTGTGCATCTAACAGCATTTTTTTTTTTTTTTTAATTGTCGATGCATTTCCAGGCAGCACATTTTTGTGTGTTTACATCCAACAGTTCCGTGACTGTGCTCTAGAGCTGTTGTCGTGCGGGCGGTACGTCCCCAGAGGGCCCACCAACGTCAGCATCCCTCTGTGCTCCTTGAACAGGAGGAGCTGTCTGTCTTCCATAAGCAGGAGCGCCAGCACGCACAGCAAGGTGTTGCCTCTGTGACTTTTCCCCGGCCAAAACAAACAAGGTGCCATTGTTGACAGCGTTTGTCGGTGCCTCGTCAAGAATGGAGGGGGGGAAAATGTCAAGGAAACTTTCCAAAATGTGCTAAAGCTTTACAGCTGCAGTTCACTGAATTAGATATTATTCAGAAAGTTTTTTTTATTTCAGTAAGTCAGTTTTGAAAGTGAGAATCACAAGTTAAATACATAAAACTCAAGATTCTACTTCTGTTCATTTTGATGAGTATCATTTACAGCTAATGAAAAGCTCAAACATTTTGTTTCTAAGAAATTTAGAATAGAATGATTTTTACTTAAGGAATGTGGGAAGATATATATCCTTTACTGGACAGTTAAGACACTCGATACCTGGTTGGTGCAGACTGCTGACTTTTCACATATTTTGTGGCTCACCGTCCACAAGTTTGGTCTGCCAGAGAACATCAATTCAATTTAGTATATTTCTATAGCGCCAATT